AGTAGTCACCCTCCAGAAGGAAGGACAGTGTCAGCACCAATTCAGAGATGATTTGAGGATCTACAGCCGAGTGATACACAAATAAGATACATTTCTGTTAATAGTTAAGATACTTTTAAGAATGAACTCCTGAGCTTAGTGTCACTTTAGGGCAAAGTAACAGGTTCACCTATGAATGGAAGGTAACCATCATCCTAACCTCTAACCTCAACATTCTCCAAAACCTAACCCCTAACTTCAACCCAACACAATTACAGTCCTGCAGATAATACCATGGAGAAGAAATTATATCTATTATACCATATCTACAGACTGAGATCCCATTTGCAACATTTCTGTCTAAGGATGTTACAACCACATCCTAGAAAGTCACTTTAAGGTCATGTTGAAAACTGTATAACAAGTTAATGAACTTCAATAATTTCAGCTTTTATTAAAAAGAATGTTTAAAGTGAACATCAGCTTATAATGATGTTGTGATTTTCTATATATATTTAGAGTGGACCTTTACCCCCCTTGACTAAAAAAAAGCTCTGCATGCTGATATGAAATCCTCTTACATTCATTAGTTAAACAAACTTATTTTTATTTTACTTATAATTTCTTTTTTCCCACTTCCTAGTCCACTTTGGCACAAATTATGTAATCTGAGCCCAAGCATTGTATTCTGGGAAGATTACATCAGCAGAACATTGCTGGGAAATCTCATGAGATCTCGGGGAAAGGCATTTTCTTCCCCTGAGATGATGTGCATGGTCACATGTCCTAGTCACTTGTGCCAGAGTTCCAGGAAGTAAAGGGAGATGGATTAATCTGCCCTTAGTTAAAATGGTCACTGTGAGAAGAAACTCTGTAGAAAATAAAAAAATAAGGTATGCAAAAAATTTAAAACCTGGCAATTATCTAGAAGTATGTGTTTGTAGATTGTCATTTCAAAACATTGCTAAATGTGTCTTTGTTGTTATTTGGAAGATATGGGTAAATTCCTCTTTAACTCTATTCCTGTCCAGTAGACTCAGCAGGAAGTAAGCCAACTCAAAATGTTTAATTTACTCTCACTTTATCTCCGGGTGACACTGGTGATCAGGGCAATTGGAGAGAGTGATTCCCCCGAAGGGCCCATTCACACCAATTGCAGTGCGTTCCAATCACTCACAATACTTCCCCCTTCCTTCTGGAGCTGGAGGGAGCGTGGCGGTGCACTGAAGTCAATGGCACTGCAGCCACGCCCCCTCCCGAACCAGAACAAAGGGGGAGGTTTTGTGAGTGATTGCTGTGCGTTCCAGCAGCTGCCGCTCTGGAACGTACCGCAATTGGTGTGAATGGGCCCTAATGGGAACACAGATAGAAATCAAAACATGACAGTGGATCTAACCCCTCACCACTCTATCCAAATAATAAAAAATGTTTTTTGCCTTTAGTTCTACTTTAATAGTTGCCAGTTTAGCAATCAGGTTGTCATGGTATCTATTTAGTTCTCATTGTCACATATATTCACAACTATGCAAGGGCTCATCATAGCAAGCTGTCATTCAGCAGTCAACTAGAGATATATTTGTTTCACCATTAAACTTTCAGCAGGTGTATCAAACATGGTGTGCATCTGCTTCTTTACATTATTCTAACAGTTGTGTTGCAGGCCTAAGAAGGAATGGAGGAAATTAGCAGACCTGAGATCCAAGAAAGGGTGAAAAAATGAAAAACATGGAAATTGTTTATAAAACACAGTGCTTTAGCAACACACTGTAACTGTCAACCAATTAGGATAGACAGCTATGGTAGAACAACAGTTGTATTATGTTTATGTTGTACTTAAAATATTATTAACCCTTGCAGCGGGGCTAACCCTGCACTGCAAAGGTTACATGCTAATTTTCGTCTAGGGACTAAAAAAAAAAAAAGCTGTCCTCACTCTAACCTCTGATCCGGCTGGCTGTCACAGCACTCCCCCCAGCCTCTTTCCTTCTACACTGCATCAATGGTATGTCCCTCTGCACCAGAGGGAGAGAGACACTGGAAGGGCTGGCCTAACAGTAAGCCAGCTGCAAGGATCAGGTGAGTATAACTTTGTTATTTTCCTCCCTAGACCAAAATGAGCAGGTAACCCTTGAGGTGGGGGAAACCCCACCGCAAGGGTTAATAATATTTTCCCCTGGAGTACTGCTTTAATATAGCTCCTAACTTGGATAGCCTCTGTTTAAAAAGGATTAGGGAAACTGAGGTAAGTGGGCTAGATGTTTAAGCAGCCGCAAGTAACATTACTTAGTAATATCAGTGTGGCTAGACAGATGAAATCTCTATAAAAAGTCTATGTACACATGTATTATGTATCATGGATGCAGGCCATACATGTGTAGACAATTTGTTCAATGTTATGAAAGATGTGACATTTGCCCATTCTGCAAGCGACTGCTGAGGATAATGGAGACAGTCATGTATTCTTGGCAACTGAACAATTCACTTAAATGGTTTTCTGGACAAAAATTTCAGATCTTTTCCCAATTTTGCTGTCAGTCATCTGTACAGCGAAAGGATTGTTTTCACTAACTCTTCTCAAGACTGATTACATTCTAATGAGAAACTGTCATCTCCAATTATAGCTGTAAAGATTATTAAAAGAGAAACCCAAATGTTTGTCAAATCAAGCAGTCATTGGTCAGTACGAAGTGCAAGGGCGAATCATGATCTCGATACCGTTTTTTCGGTATCGAGTACGAGTACCGATATTAATATTTCGGTACTCGCCGATACCGAGTACCGATACCGGTACTTCGAGTAGCATAGAGCTGGCTTCCAGGGCAATCTGGGAGCCTGGCAGCGTGTCATTATCCACCGCCCGGCTTCTTGATTGCCCGGGAAACCGACTCCATTCTGTTTGGCCTGCTTAATGCTGATTTGCCGGGAAGCCGGCTTCCCAGCCAATCGACATCGAGGCCGGCCAAACAGATCTGACAATATGGTCACACAACCTCCACCCTGCAGACACCTCATTCCCCCCACATCGATCCTCAGCAGCATTCATTACCGTACCACAGATGTCCCTCGGCCAGCTGGGCAGACACCGCTCACCAAGCTCTCCCGGATCTGCCCACATCTCCTGTGTGTACAGCGCCAACGTGATTGGCCCTCAGCCTGCAACTGCGCATGTGCAAACTGCCCAGTGCTCTCATTCAGACATCAAGGAGGCAGTGCTGGCGCTGTGCACACAGGAGACGTGGGGAGATCCAGGAGAGCTGTGTCTGCCCAGCTGGCCTAGGGACTGGTATGGTAATGACTGCTGCTGAGGATCTATGTGTGGGGAATGATTTGTCTGCAAGGTGGGGGTCGTGTCACCATATTATCAGATTTGTTTGCCCGGCTCGTTGCTAATTGGCTGGGAAGCCGGCTTCCCGGCCAATCAGCATGGAGCCGGCCAAACAGCATGGAGCCAGCTTCCCGGCTCCATGTTCCCTTGCAGCACTGCCGGTCAGAGGAAATCCTCCTCTAACCGGAAGTTCCAGTATAGGGAAAGGTATCGGAGCATTTGGGCGAGTACGAGCCCAAATACTCGGTATCGGCACACATACCGATACTAGTATCGGCATTGGTGCATCCCTACTTTGTACATATTCATTGATTACTGCAGTCTTAAGGCAGCTTTTACTCTCTTCCCTCAAAGTAATAAACAGGCATTTTCAATTAAAGTTGGCATGTTAAACAACATAAACGAAATGCAATTTACCTCTTTATTATTGGCCAAATCAGTTAGGAAGCTGAATTTCTGCACATAGCTAGACAGTGCTGGAAGGGTTTTTTTAACATCATTTCCCTAGGTAAGCAACGCACTCTCAATCTAAAGGGCCGTGGACAGAGCTGAGTGTGGCTATTTACTGATAGGGCAATCAATGGAACTAAGATCTAATCAGTGGTTGATGTGACCGGGGGCAGCTGTGATACGGAGTCGGGATGGATTATTCCTTTGTAACCAACACTGTGGCTTTTGACATGCGTGATGAAAATATTGCATCTGTGAGTACATTACCCTTATTAAACCATTTTAATAAAACATTTTACACATGGAGGTCGCGCTCTGTTTTTCTATGTACATGATGGGAACCCCAGAGCCTTTGGATGAACAGCTCCCCAAGATTGTGTGAATAGTAGGAATTAGCGCCAAGAGACTAAAAAACATTTTCTATCTAATCAGGTGTGTCAGCAGCAAGGGTGACAATGCTGCAGTGATTTCACTACTGAAGATATAGTGTTGTTCCTTTCAAATGAAGTGCTTTAGCACTCCTTCTGCAGGCAGGTGCATGTATGTTCTCAATGTTTCATGTTTTAAAAACATAGTACCCATATTTACTGGTATAGGCAGCCTACACCAAACATGTGATTTTATGGCGTGATCATAATGATACTTTAATCATCCAAAAAGGGAATCAACGTTTCCATGATAAACTCCCCTAGCATTATTAAATTATTATAGCAACTATGTGTGATTGCATGTGTGTTTCAGGAACTGGGTTAGCAGCAAGTATACTTAATATGTTAGTGATAATTTATCTTCCTCAAGTGCTGTGTTCCCATGAGATCACCGGAGGCATTCTAGTAGCTTAGAATAAATCAGCCCGTGTTTACCCTGAAGGGCACATGCAGCTCCAGGAATGCAGTGGAGAAGGGAAAGCGGGCACATCATGCTGACAGCAAGCAGCACAGGAGTTTGGTGTCAGGCTAGCCACGGCCAGAGGCAAAGGGCAGCAGTGTAAAGTAAAGGGGACAGGAGAAAGGCTTTTTTTATATACATGTGAGATCAGGAATAGAGAAAAAGCAGACAGGTTGAAATTCCACTAATAGGAAGGAAGCAAGGACAGATAAAAATACACAGATACAAATGGATAAAAATAACCACATCCAAGACAACCACAGATTCAACTCCACCTCTTTTATCTTCCTGTCCTTCAGAAATACATACAACACCCACACACCATTCATGTATTTGTATAACCATGAAAGAAACTTACCTTTGGCTGATTACTCAATCCCATTGAGAACCTGCAAAGAGAAAGCAATTGTCATTTTATTCAGTTGTAGCATCCAAACACTTCCTCAATGAAAAGGGCTGCTGCCGTTACTGAATGGATATTATTATTCAGGATTTATATAGCGCCAACAGTTTGCGCAGCGCTTTACAATATAGGGCAGACATTAAAATCACAATACAATTCAAGACAAGATGGTAAGGAGGGCCCTGCCCCTTAGAGAGCTTACATAACACTATGTTCATTACCTGCTCAGAACTAAACCCAGCTTGTTGCTGCAGGCTCGGATCTTGTTCTGGGCCTCGATGTGAGTCATATTTGTTGTGCTCTCTCCATCAATCTGTAATAACCAGTCCCCCACATTAACGCCAGCCAGTTCAGCTTTTCCCGCTGGTGTCAGCTGTAACAGAGAAGATAAGGCACCATTAACACAAAGGTTAACATATCGTGTTCAAAGCAATGTACACCAAAAACTATTTTCAAGCTGTGTGTTTTTTTCCACACAATTTCTTTTAAACTGCTACAAAACCAAAATATTAAAAAGACAGAGCTAAGGGTGCAAAACAATATAAGCAATAAGCAATATACAGTAACTTAGTGGCAGTAGTTGACTCTTTCCTTGCTGGTTGTCTCTTGCATGTCTACTAAAGCAGTAAATATAAGAGCTGACTCTCACCTGTCCTTCCTTCTGGAGGGTGGCTTCTTTTGTTCCCCATGGTCCATGTGTGTATTGAGATTGTAGTCCATCACGGGAGCTTGGAGTGGTGACTACCTTACAACACACAGAGGGACCACGGGGAACAAAAGTAGCCACCCTCCAGAAGGAAGCACAGTGTCAGCACCAATTCAGAGATGATTTGAGGATCTACAACCGAGTGATACACAAATAATATACATTATTAATAATAGTTAAGGTACTTAAATGCGTTTTTAAGACTTAACTTCTGAGTTTAGTGTTACTTTAACAAAGAAAACAAAAAAAGGGGGCTTCACTAGATAAAATGTCTACTAAAACTCATCACAATCACCTCCAAAGGAAATATCAAGCCCTCAGAAAACTACATTCACTGTTAGAATTTCGTTCAATCCTGATCCTTTGATTTTTTTTCATCATTTCGGTGCAAAATGATCATTTATTTGACCCCAATAACTATTAAAAAATCAAACCAATGTTCCAAAAACACATTTCTACTGGTGTATGGCCAGTTTAACTATTAATAGGCATCCTAAAGCAGAGCTATCCAGTCCATAAGGGATGAATAAAAGGTCAATATTATGAGAAAGAGTAATTTTACTTAGCAATCATCTGTCAATTAGAGAAATCATAAAAATATTTATTTATTACAGGTATTTATATAGGGCCAACAATTCACACAGCGCTTTACATACTGCACATTAAGATCGGTCCCTGCCCTCAAGGAGCTTGCAATCTAAGGTACCTATCTCACATGCATAAATACAGGGCCAATTAAGACAAGAATCAAATAACCTTCCAACATGTCTTTGGAGTGTGGGAGGAAACTGGAGTACCTGGAGGAAACCCACACAAGCACAGAGAGAACATGCAAACTCCTTGCAGATAGTGTTCTGACCAGGATTTAAAGCAGGGACCCCCAGGCAGAAGTGCTAACCACTACTGTGCTGCCTAGTGTTTAAGGACTGAAGTTGGACACCCCACACTAAAATAACCTCCTTAACTCAGAAGCCAAACTGCTAAATCTGTCAAAGCTACCATTGGCCAATATCTGACCAACTAAAGAAGAATGAAGTATAAATAACTAATGCTAATGTGCATCAATTGTTAAGCTAACTGCATATCAAGTTTAGAGTGAAAACACTTCTGTAAACTAAAAGGTTTCAATGTTTTTTGTTTTTTTTAAGGACCATCAAAACACTGAACATTAGCCGGTCATTCATAACAAATTGCTAAGGGCAGGCCCACAGTAACATGAGTGTACTGAATCAGAGTGTACTGGTGGAAATCCACCCATACAACTTAATGGAACAGTGCCCCCTGTGGATGGAATACTATTAATTGCTGATTGCACATTGTGTCAAGTTAAAATTGGAACAGCCAACCTTCAACAAATCATTTTGGAACTGTTTATGATGCCTTAAAACAAATTAATTCAACTGCAGACAAAAAACTAAGCATATTTAACAGTGCCAGCCTCATATGTTTTCTCTAAAAACAAGAAATCAAATTTAAAATGTTCATCTACAAGTCCCCAGGGGGAGACAGAAAGAGAGAAACAAGAAGCAGTTCCAGCAACCTGTGTGTGAGCTGGAATGAGGACATAGTATTTATAACTCAGAATTCTACAAGCTCAGCATTTCTACAAGAGCCACATGACAGCAATGGGACACCCTCCCTACCTCCATCCCCACCTGTCTGCTTTATTCACAACCAGCCTCTTTCTCTGTCACTCATTATAAACAACCAGACAGTGGTGAGACAAGGCTCTTTTATTTATAACCAATTCTAAAATGCAGCAGTAAAAAAACGAAGGCAAGTCAAATGCTAGTGAAAAAGTTAAATTGCAGAAAAATAGAAAAGCCATAAAAAGGGAGAGGAGAACGTTTAAAAGCAAAAGATACAAAAACAAAAGTAGAAAAAATATATATATAAGAAAGGAAAGAAAATAAAACCAGAATAACTGTCAGAAAGGTAGATATTCAGTGATATGTTTCTTGTTCAGTGATAAAAGAGGAGTTATGCACAATACTCTAGTCAACCTGTAATGCTGTAATCTTATAAGTAGGGTCACCATTATTAGTTATGGGGCCCCATATAGCCTACTTGACAGGGTCTTCATGTCAAGTACTACCTGTACCTGCCAATTATGATCTCCATAAAGCCAAAGCACAAATATGCACAATTTCAAAAATGAAACGAGCTGGAATAAGAAAAAAAAAAGAAGCTTCAAGGCTGATCCGTACCCTACTATCTCCCAATCGGCTCAATACAGTGCTAGAAATGTGGTGAGAGGGGCTGCTGCATGCTTTAGCCTTGCCACAATGGAAGGGTGGAAGGCGTCTGGGCAGTATTTTTTGTGGTGTGGTAAAGGAAACCAGTGCAAGGTAGTAAACATCTGATTGCTAGCTCTGAAAATTCCACTTTACTCCACCTGGCCACAACACATGGCATTTATCAACTGTCTAAAAAGGAAAATTCTCCTCTCTTTGTAGATATTTCCTCTTCGTATTGTGTCTTCCCAAAAGGAAGTGACAGGAATACACAGAAATAAGATTTTCAAACAATAATACACTGTGATAAGTTCATTTTCATTTAGCTGTTTGTATTCCCCAACTTCTCTGAAATCTCATGGCTAATGCTTGTTAAAAGAAGAATCTATCACCAGGTAGGATAGTCCTGGCTGATTGACACTGTTATCCCTTTACGGCAATAATGCCCCATACACCATATAAGCTGTAATACTTGTCTACCTCCATGGACTTCAATGGAGCAATCCTTACATTTCAGCTATTAACCTATTGATTAGTCAGTACTTATGAAACAGCTACAGTTATTGCTTTTTATTAGGGGGGACAAGGCTTTCTTTTAGCAATTTCATCACCCAAACTTTATTGGAATTTTTTCCAACTACCAATTGCTATTTGCTGGTTATGGCAAACACATCTAATATACATTGTACAATGGATATCCAAATATATAAAATATATTATCAAAACATTACCAAAGATCATATCCTTGTGCATAGTCTTAAAGGAAAAGTATTCAATTTTTTCAGAAAGCAAATCATTTGTGTTATTATTGTAATGTTTACAAGTCAGTTTTTTAATGTGAATTCCACATTTTAAATACTTGATCTTACAATTTTTTGTCACTGTATTAAGTATAGAAATTTGCAGATTAACCACTGGAGGGAGCTCTGTAATTGACTCAACCTAATCCCCTCTCTCACCTTCTACTCTGGCTGTGGTATGTTCCTCAGGGCCCTCACAAATAATACAAAGCAATGGACTTCTATCACATGTGATGATATCAGAGGGGCTTAAATCGCTGGAGTCCGGGGGAAGTGGTCTAGCAGCCAAGCAGGACCAAGGTTCGAGTGAGTATATCTTTTTTTATTTTACACCTTAGACCAAAATGAGCACTTAACCCTTGCAGTGCAGGTTTGCAGGCTTTTAACTGCCTGGCATTCTTCTTTAACACTGGATGAGATAAGATATCAGCCACATAGACAATGTATTTATGTTTTCATTGAATACACTGACACACAGACTTGTAACTTTTAACTACAATTCGAACATTTAAACACAGTTAAAACATTACCACACAATGATAAATATATTACCATTATGCTGATCTATTTTCCAAATGTATCTAAAAAAACATTAAAGAGATTACACATTTCCTCTAAGACATTATCCTCAACAGCCCTATGTGCACAGCAGTGAAGCTGATCACAGCAGCCAAATGCTGCCATAGTGGGAGGCAACTGATCATTGAAAAGATCTCTGCAAGTGAGCCTGGCCACCAGCTCCAGCAACACAAGACGTTCAAAGGACAGATGTACTGTGACTTTAATGTGTGATTCTTAAAGTATGCAATGAGTGGGTGGCAGGAAAAGGAACAAACTGTACACACCGTTGTTTCCAGAGGAAGATATATTATTAGAAATCATTGCTGTGCTTAAACAGTAAATGTTGTTCACAGAAACATCAGGATTTCTGTATGTTGTCATCGCTGCCAGAACCAAGCAAGTATTAAATTACTGGCACAAACAAGGTATCGGAATGTTTATAATTAAAGTAGAATGAAAGTCTTGTTTTTTTTGTTACATATATCTACTGCTAGCAAGCAATAGATACAGGTGAAACTCGAATAATTAGAATATCGTGCAAAGTTCATTTATTTCACTAATGCAACTTAAAAGGTGAAACTAATATATGAGATAGACTCATTACATGCAAAGCAAGATAATTCAAGCCATGATTTGTCATAATTGTGATGATTATGGCTTACAGCTCATGAAAACCCCAAGAACCCCAAATCCACAACCTCAAAAAAGTAGATTACATGCAATCAATAAAAGAATGATTGTACATAGAACAATATCGGACCTCTGAAAAGTACAAGCATGCATATGTACTCAGTACTTGGTTTGGGCCCCTTTTGCAGCACATACTGCAATTACTTTTGCACGATATTCTAATTATTCGAGTTTCACCTGTATATGCAAAAATATAATTAAAAAATGAAAAGTTACCAAATAGGTAAATACTTACCTGTGTCTCTGCCGCTCACTCCAGGAATTCAGCTTCCCCAAACCACCATGCAGGAGAAAGTGGGCAGGCGCATGCACAGTGGAGATCACCAGGCTGGGAGAGGAGAGCTACACTGAAAGTGAATGCATGCAGCCGGGAGCGTGCACG